ACCTCAAATTGACGAAATAGTATTTCGTTTCATATTTGTTACCGAAAGTTCGTTTCAGAGAAAAAGAGTAGACCCCTTGGGCAGAGTGGACTTTTCTTCTACATCATTTTTATAAGATTCATAAATCTGCAGGCATAGATAGGAAGTATAAACAATATCAATAGTTACAGCTAAGGTGTCATCGCCGAAACAAGGAAGTGATTTTGGTGTCAGTAAGTTCCTCAATATCGAGCGATTCTATATTCAGGCCATGCATCCGTCAAGGTGTCATACAAGGCCCCTTATTTTAGTGTTCATATAATGTTTTATTATTGTTGATTTAGCTATGATTTAGAGATAAACTTATGTCAAATCTACAATATGTTTTCAAACTTTCCATCAATAATATTGTAAATTAATTATTGTGTACCTGATAATTAATGCAAGCCCAAGATTTTTTTATGTGGAAACTTTGTATGTTAGTAATTCTTCTTCTATGTTTATATATAATACTAGCTGTGCCCCGCGGTGTTACCCGCGGTTTATTAGGGTTATTTTCCCGCAGTAAAACGTAGCTTATGTGTTAATCCAGGGTGTCAGCTAACTTCATACCAATTTTTATTAAAATTAGGCGTGAAGAAGTAACAAACATACACACTCACAAACTTTCGCCTTTATAATATAAGTGTGATATTCGATGAATATGTTTAAATAAGAGATAAGTATTTAAATAAAACGTCTTTAAAATGCTTGTTACATACTAAAATATTTCAAAATTAACAGAAGAAGATTCAAATGTATATTGATTGGCATACTAATTGGTTATTGTTAACTGTAATTTAATATTATGTTATCTTTAGCGGAGCGGAGTCCAATCGCTATAATAAATAAATAAATAAAAAATAAATAAACACTTCCAACACTCACACCAATTAGCCTAGCCCCAAAGTAAGCACTGTAAGGCTTGTGTTATGGGATGTTAGGGTAACGGATAGAATACATATACCTGTACATATATAAGTATATTTATATAGAAATACATATTGAACATCCATGACTGGAGTACAAATGCTCGTATTCATCACACGAACATCTTGCCCCCACCGGGATTCGAACCCGGGACCTCTCGAGTCGGCGACACCATGAAACCCGGCGTACAAACCACTCGGCCACGGAGGTCGTCAAGGTCGTCATAATACCTATAGCAGCTAGCGTTTCCATCCGTCCGAATAAAGCCGGACAGTGTAAGGCTTTTTGTTCTCTTGTCCGGGTCAATTTAACTGCGTTTTGTTACCCACAGATTCAAGTGATGTAGAGGCTCCAGACGGAGAGGAGACTCCTCCCGTGGGGAGATGCCATCCGCCTGGAATACCTCTAGAGGCACTCGCCAATTCTCGGCTTGAGGTCCCCTTAGGATCTCATCGTCCCCAAACCCGGTGACACTGTAAAGATCATCTGCGACGAACAGCATACACACTCCAAAAAAATGGATCCGGATAAAAAGGTTCGGTTTTCTGGTTTTTAGAGATTGCAACGCTAATTAGAGACAGCAGATATATGATATCATATCTAAGACCGCATCATCCCCCTCTCAGGGGATGATCGCTTCAGATGAAGCTTGTAAGGCCCTTCTGGCCATAAGCATGATTAACGGGTGTTTTTTAGTCAGTAAGAGTCTGACATAACCCTACAGCCGGCTGTAGGGAATCCAGCGATTTCTCACCCGCTCCCCCGCCTGGGAGGAAACACAAAAAAAAAATCTAGCTGAGCAATCAAAATTGCCAAGGAAAATAAACACATTCAACCAAGTGACATTTGTATAACTGATCAAGGAAAACTATAGCAATGTGTATCTTGAACAAAATGTCCTGACGTTTGTTTCGATAATGAGCTCTATTAGCACGATAATTTTAGCGTATTTACCTTATACAGTTGAGGCGCTCGATGACACGAGTGGTAAGTGCGTTCGGCCTCCGATCATGGAAGTTAAGCAACTTTCGCAATGGTCGACCATTTGATGGGTGACCGAAAAAATATTATCTCGGAAGGCACATTAAGCCGTCAGTGCATAGTTGTTGGTCCCGGCTGCATCTACAGTCGTTAGCACCCACCAATCTGCACTGGGCCCGCTTGGTGGGTCAATACTCCATCTCCCTATCTTCCATTCATAGGGAAAGCTGAAGATGATGACTTTTTACACAACAAATTACAACGGAGCATACAGCAAGTGTCATAAACGCGTTCCGTCACAGAATTGACTCAGACGCGTATGTGTTTGGTCATATCTCATACAATATTATGCATTGATCACTCCACGGTCGCACCTCGTCATTTATCGCGGTTTTTCATAGCTCAATCATAAATCATACACAAGAAGTAAGCCATACTGAATTGACCGCTTGATTTGGAACCACTGTACGGGAAAGTCACCTTCGGCATACAGAAGACACACAGTAAAATAATACTGATTACACGTTTTCTGTGGTGTTGTGTTTCTGAAGGTTAGCTGTCTAGAGTTTTCAGGGCTCCGAAAGGTACAGGATGCAACGGGGCTATGGTAGACAACGTACACATATGTCCGCACCGTACGCGCTGAACGCGTCTAATTTATTTATTTATTTTAAGGACAATCAGTTACAGTCGAATACAATGAGCTAATGAGGAGAATTATATTAAAATGGAACAAAGAGCACTGCTTTTAATTGCCACAGCATGCTTAAAAATAGGTTGTAAAAATTTATGGGGACAGCATACAGAACAACAATTCAACAACACAAACTCAAAATTAAAATGAGATAAAAAAAACTAAATATATTAGGACAAGATTAAATGAGCAAATTAAGCTGTTAAACGTTCTTAATAGATTCTCAGCTGTAGAAAATTTTAAAATTTTTGACTTGTATGATCCAATGCTATCCTTGTAAATATTGATACTGTGACTCAAAGCATTATAATTTTTGGAAAGTCTAGACACTAAAGATTAGAATTTAGTCAGTAGAATTTCCTTACATCTAGATTATGAAATGCGGCGCGTACGGTGCTGATGGAAGCGTGCAAGAATTCATACAATTCATACAATTGTGTGTGAATTCTAAATGCGGCGCGTACGGTATGGACATAATGTACGCTCACCTTAAGTGATACTCTGATATCGCAAGTCTCTCTTTATGGCCAATCATTATAGTCTACCCTAGGCTAACTAACACAATATCAATTCCAATAAGATTAAACAGATGGTACCTACCTGGTACTAGCCAAAATTATAACACCTGTTTTTAAAGATAGTAAATAGAAACTAACAAATTCGAAAGAGATTTGAATACTTATAAAAAAGTCGTATGTACTTTGTCCTATAGTTTCAAACTTCGTAAAATTTATTCGTTAGAAATTAAATGAGAGAACGGTTTAAAGCAGCAGAATAAAATGGTGTCTTTTTGCTTCTTCTCATATTCATATACTCGTTTTACTTTATCACTCTTTATTAAATTTTAACGACATTAAAGTCAAACACGAGGATAAAGAGTGATTTAACTACTGATATTTTTTTTAAATATTTCACTCATAATAATGAGTCCTATAGTCATGCAGAGTTCATTTCAAATGATTTTAATGTAACTTATTTTTCAATTGATTTTTTGTTCACCCCACCATTCAAATTATTACACAAATTGTCTACTTGTTAAGAGTTATATATGCTACATCCATATAACTGCAATGGATTAGTATTACTTACTATATCTGATTCAATAGCAATTTATCTTAAACAGTGCAACGGATGAAGATAATAGCATATCAAGGTATTTTTCTCTAAGATTTTGTCACATAACTCTGAAACGTCAGTAACCTTTTACAAATGAGAGAACACATAATTTAATGAAGCATTGTCTGAGTGCAGCTGTGAGTTCCAAAATGAGACCACGACTTATTTTTTTCGTCTTGTAAGATAATAATCCGTCTTCCTACTATATTAAATATATAACTCTTTAATGTGAAAGTTTGTATGTTTTGTACGCTATCATAAAAAACTACTGAATGGATTTGGATGTAATTTGGGGCTCATATACTTTATAATCTAGATTAAGATGTAGGATACTTTTTATCCCGAAAAAATTAGAAGTTATAGAGGGATTCTCAAAGTATAAGAGTTAATTCGGACGAAGTCGGGGGCGACCGCTTGTAAAAATTGATATTCAGTGATTCGGTATGAGGAAAATTACCAACAAATAAAAACATACTGATACAAAGACATTTATTACTTTAGCACGCACTCACCAGAGATTTTTTTATGAAACCGCATAATGTTTCCTGTATTTTTTTCAAATCACACATAATTCTATCCCTGTTCACCGTAAAACTAATGTTCACATTAATATTTTGCCGTAATAACACTGGAAAAACTACATTTTTATTTTATTGTTTCAAAGCCTTTGCGTGAACCTAATAAAAAGTTGATTGTCAATATCTGGTGGGTATTATAGCAATTAACGGGTTTGTTACCATGTACCTTGTTTTTTATGAGTCTCCGATATTTCGGCACTGTTACAAGCGCCATGATCACGGAGTAACTGAAGTAATTGCGGGTAGATGTTATTGGCAGACATATCGGTCTACCCTCTGACGTCGTCTTTTATTGCACTCGATACCCCTACCACTGGGCACATTCTCACTATTCACTCACAACTGTTCCCGACTCGCAATACTCATAGTATCAGATCGCGGAACGACCCTTTTTTAATTTAAAGAAAAGCAATATATCTGGTGTGTACTTATATACCTACATGCAATTTGGCTTGATTTGAGTTAACAAAAGTGGGAAGATGTATATAGGTATATATGTAGATGTATAATAGCTCGGTAATTATCAATTCCATCTGTCAAAAGCAGTTAGCGAATCGGCCTACAGAACACGACAAGCGTGCGAACAGCGGGTGGTCACCGAGTTGTCCACCCTGTAATCTGTCCGCCCACGCGTGTGGATGGATGGATTGGACATGAATTGGTGTACATTGATTTCTACTCACCGCTAATGGTGAACACTGGTGATTGATCCTCAAGCTTCTTCTCCCCTGTTCTGACCACATCGGGTGCAACAACCATGCCTGAGGACAAACGGAGAAACGTACACATTAATTACTTAGTACGTATTGTGAACTAAATAGATGTTGCTGGATTAGAGTTTGAGTTGAACACATGAGTAAACAAACGTACAGAACGTAGTAAATATTAAGTAATCTGTGGTACAGATGGTTTTGTTTGTAAACAAACGGCAGGTTACGTTTGGCCACGTTTCAAGAAAATGGATTTCATAAACTATATACTTATAGGTTTTGTTTTTCTTATATTACTTATGGGGCATTCCACGTGAAGCGGACAGGTAAAAAAACTCGATGTTTCCGATTTCAGTAATATTTGAGTATGTTCTACTTATACTTATTATTGATACGTGTACCAAATATTTTTGTGATATAATGACTACTTAAAGAGTAATGGGACTTTGAAGTTTTCGACAACCGGTTGGCATGCAGTACTTCAAAGCCGATTATGGACTCATAAAATTATATATTAAAATAACTAAACCACTGGATTTCCTACTTTATTTACTGGGCTTTTTAACTGTGTTTTTGGAAAAGAAAAAAAAAATTTTTAGACAATTCATTCCTTGGTATGGCGGATCGATTCAATTCAATCTAATAGACTGGAAAGCTTTGGATAACAGAATGACACGGCACTGAATTGCCCAAACAAACAAACATTACTCACCCAAATACCAAATTATTTACAAAATTACTTAACCGAGCATAGGTAGGTGGGCAAAGGTACTATGGCTGTACAAACTGAGTCATTTATTTCGCTCTAATTAATTTTATTGATCGAAGAAATTGGGGTCGACATCGCACGTGACAACAATTCATTCTAGGTAGCATAGTTGAAATTGGGATATGGGGTCGTTAGTTGTAAGGCTGCAATGCTGCCAGCGAAGGCCTTTAAAGATAAATACACTAATTGCAAATTTATACTTTTCCATAACGAAACAGACTGACATAACCATGTTCATTAATACATAAAAGAATATTGAAGAAAACCAAATAGACAAACAAGTTCTAATATCGTTTATTTACTATTGGTTGTTACAAAGTTATGAAAGTTGAAAAAAGCCATCGGTTCGAAAACCTAACGGCGGGAGACGGAAGACCTCGTACTGAGTAGGAAGGGCAAGAAACCAAAAAAACGTTGAATTTTCTCCCTATATTATTTATTATTTACAGACACGTCAAGTTGAAAATGACTTTATGAAATAATTCATGAAGTTACCATCCATAACATTATTTGGACATAGAGATGGAATGACCACATCATCAGCAGCATATTATAACCACTGCAGGGGCACAGGCCTACCCTATAGATGGAATAGGGAGACGGGACCGTGTGCACACGCAGGCCCAGTGCTGATTGTTGCGTGCTAACGACTGCAGATGGGAATAGCAGGTTAACGTGCCTTCCAAAGCACGGAGGATCTCCAGACAATAAGGTTTTTGGTCACTAACCAATAACCCACATAGATCACTGCGTAACGAAGGCCGATGGAGTAATCGTACAGAAGTGAAGACCCAGAACTAGTTACGGGAAGGTAGGCTGACCACCAATGTAATAGAGAGATGATCTCATGAAGATAGCGGAAAAGCTTTGGATGAAAACAGCAGAAGACCAAGCTAGATACAGTTAATATTTGACAATGTTCTAGCTGATGCACATAGCATATTTATTGAGCAACCTCTGTTCACCGTTATAATGCTAAAGATTCTATGTATGTATATATGAATATCGGTATGTATATTAGAGTATACTAGTCATGATGGAAATGACGAAATCTTCAAAAGTGCACATAGCAGATATTGGTTTGACAACAACGATACCCTGTCGCATGAGGGCCGCGATCTCATGGATACAAGAGATCCCTCTATGGGGATGATGAGTGGGTAAAAGTAAACGAAATTCTATTAAGTCCGTAAGTTAGATAATAATAAAAAATAATGGAAACTTCTTTTTTCATTATAGCTATTAACGAGATTGTTACGGAGTTACTCCGTGATCATGGCGCTTGCATCAGTGCCGAAATATCGGAGACTCATAACTCATAATAAAACAAGGTACATGGTAACGATCCTGTTAATAGCTATAATGTTAGTGACCATGAAAGTTTAAAGCTTCTTTTTTCTTTTGTCAATCAACTAAAAAATTACAATGATAAATTCGGGATTGGGGGAATATGAAACGTAAATCTAAGTAACAAAACTTGTACCAAGACGTGACGTCATGCGACATTTTAAATCAATTTAACTCTGTAAGGTTTTGATTACTTATGTGAAAGATGGAAAAATACGCGTCCAATACTTTTTGAAAAACAGTTATACATGATCCCTGCATAAACAATAGTAGGCATTTTAAGGAGCTAGTACCTTATTTGCTCCCTATAATTGTGATAATCCATTAAATATTGCACCTAACGAACGGTAGGCAATAATGTTTTACTGGGCAAGGGCTGGTTCACAATTCCCTATTGTTCAATAACTGCAGATTTCGAGTATGAATGACGGAGAAGACGACATTTTATTGTCTTTACTAACGCCACCCGTGACTTCGTCCGCATTAACTTTAGTTTTTAGAAAATCCCACAGGAACCTGAGATTATTTCCGGATAAAAAGTATCTTATGTCTCAATCCAGGTCATAAACTATATGCGTGCCAATTTTTATCCAAATCCATTCAGTACCCTTAGCACCGAAACCCGTCCGAATATCCGAATCGAATTCGACTAGTTTGCTGCGAGTGCGAAATGTCATTGTCAAATGTGTACTGATGTTTAGTTCTCGTTACACCCGTTATGGCGATGCTTTTCAATTTTCCATAAAAAAATTGACAATGACATATCGCACTCGCAAACTATTCGAATTCGCATGGAAACAAACATACAAACCTTCACATTTGTAATATTAGTAAGACGAGTAGGATTAAGTTCTAGCTGATAATTATATCTATCTCCTTCTGCGACGGTCTTGACGCACCGACCTTTAGAATCTAGATGGGTACGATTGCAAACTATGCTGGTGCCTAACGTAATCTAGCTGATAAGTAGATAATTATACTAAACGATTGTTATTTTCCACGGTAAATATGCAGCTTATCAAACAGGTAATTTACAAATCCAGTCAATGAAATCGGTCGTTATCAGTCCCCAGTTTTATTTTGTAAATAAATTATTAGGTATTTCGTAACGTTCGGTTATTGAAATTGCATCATTAATCTACCTTTAACATTTAAATAAAGCATATGAGCAGTGATGTCAGATCATTACTTACTATATTTTTATTTTTAAGCATTTAACTTATCTTTTTATCTACTATATTATATATTCTTATATTTACGTTTTTACAATACACTAGCCCGCTGTTCGTTCTATTCTTATGGTATGGTTTCATTTAGCCAAAGGTAGAAATTGTTACCTTAGCAATAAGGCCGCCTATTGTGTTTTTGTTCCTGTGTTTTATGTTCTCTGTATTGTGTGTAATAGTGCAATAAAGAATATATTCATTCACTTCTAGATGTTTAAATGTAAAGAAAATTTTACTAGATAAATTTCATTCGGTCTAGATTTCAGACGGGATTCGACCCTACATTTATCGCTATCTGGGTGGACGCACCAACGATATATTAATATCGTTGAGACGCACTAATTTAATTTTCGGAATTCGGTAGAATTTTTTCTAGTAAAATTTTCTTTATATGTCAGATTAACAAAATTCCAGGAGATATATGTACTTTTAGCAAAACGAGCGACATGATCGGGACAAGGGATTTCCTTAATGCACTGATATCAGAAATTTAAAGATTTAATAAGAATTGAATCAACACTGCCTACTAAAATATGATGAACCCTTAGATTAAATCATAAAGGGAGAAGATACGGTAAAAACTTCTAAAGAAACGGTAAAAACTTCCTCTGTGAGTTGCTAATCACGTGTAAGTTAATTCATCCACAGGATACTTTGAATTGCCGGCCATATCGGCTTACGGAGAAGGTCGGGTTGACATTCACCGTTCCAATTTGAACTTTAATGACGAGGGATAAAGGTCACGATGATAAGAGGTCGATTGGACGTCCTTAATATAGGTAATTGGTTTTGATGAGGTCGACGATTTTTGCGTAAAAGTAGGCATATCATGTTGGTTTTTACATTGCACTTCTATTTGGATGCAGGAGCTTGAGCGTTGCCATTGTGACATTTGCGAAAAGTTTATTATTTTTCATTATTCTAGCCTTTTATATCCCTGTTTTGGCATCGAAAACGGTTGACCCACCACTAAAAAGTAGGTTTGGCTTTGGTAGGAAAATAGTGGTGGCGATTCTGCCATGATTCTCTAACTAAACCTAAACTTGAATTTAACATCTGTCTCTTCTTTTCATTCTGTATAGAGAATGACAAGGATGCACTGTTGTCAAATTTAGGACACCATTGTTTTGATACTTTTTTTCTTCTATTTCACTGTACGTAAATTGTTATTATAGTTATATGTGATATATAAATACTTATTTTCATTGTATCATTCTTTTCACCATTTCCGCTAACACAATTATAAGTAATCAAATTGTAATCAAAGTTAAATCTAGTTTAGTGGACTATTAGAGTTATAAAAATTGTGACTATAATAATAATATGATTAGTACTGTAAAAATGTTTGATGAGATTAAAAAAAAACAAAAGATAAGTGGAATTGCACAATGTCTGCAGCAGATAAGCTATTTCGAAAAACAATACCTGTTGACGGGACGAACAAATTACAAACTAATATTGGAATACATAATCCATTTTTATTTAAAAATTATAACATAGATTTTTTAAGAGTAAATATTTTACGTGTCTCAATTATTTTTTTCCAGGCTGGACACTTACTGCCTAGATTAATAATGCACAATAAGGCGCTAAGCAGACGACGGGGCGGGGCGGGCCGATCAATTTCGCCGCGAATAATAGCACAAAGTGAATCCTATACTTCAAACGCACACAGAGGGCAAAAAGACCGCGCCGCAGGTGCCCGGCGG